CACCACACCATTAACACAATATTGCCAGCACCACACCACTAACACAGCACAGCGACCACCACACCACTATGTAACACAGCACTACTACCACGTTGGTTTCAGGTGGGAGTTACTGTGGCCACTTTTGCCTGCGCGGGAGTGCATTCCCTTAAGGGTTGCGAATCTCTCCAGATCTAACATGAGATACCTTTACATCTTACTTTTTATTGAGCGGCCTGCGCGGGCCACAGTAACTCCCATCCCGCCGCGCGACGGGCCACACTAACACCCAACGGGCCACACTAACACCCAACGGGCCACAGTAACAACCGGTCGCGGTGCGGAGCCAAACCCACTCGGTGGCCGCAGCATGGGGACCACTACAGGCGGCGAGCGAGGGGGGGGGAAGGAGAGAAAAAAAAGGCCTTCTCCAAGGTGGCGGGAGTTCTCAAAAGCCTCCCTGCCTTCTCTTCTGAGGAGTTTCCCGTGTCTTCGTGGCAGGCTTGGAGAAAACTTTTCAGGAGGCCGGGGGACTTCTGAGCCCTCTGAGAAGGCCCGCGCCTTCCAGTCGGGGCGTTGACCTAAGGAACCCTGAATAAGGAACGAGGCCCCTTTTCTCCACAATTGAATCTTCAATTTCCCGTCGAAGACATAAGGAAAGCCTGAGGCAAGCAGCGAAGCACTTGAGGAACGCGGAGCCCCTCCCCAACGAAAAGGGTTCCTTCTTCAGGGCCCCGACTGTATCGCCTACCCCCCCCCGGCTCGCCGCCGAGGCGAGGCTCTCCCCTCGGAGTCCGCTCTGGCCGCTGGGCTCTGCGGCTGGGCGCGCCCGCGCCGCAGGCAGCCCCCCCCGAAGGGAGCGCGGAGCCGACGCGCCAACTCGCGGCCTGGTTCCATCCCTTGGAGGTGGGTGCTGAACGGGGACCAAGCGTCTCGGCATTCCTGTAGGCCTACAGCCATCGGCCCAACCTAAGGAACGATAAATAAGGAACGAAACCCCATATTTTCTCAGGGAATAACGCACAAGGAACGATTGATAATGAAGAACGCATAGGGAACGACAAATAGCGCATTCAAACCTAGGGAACGACCGAGCCCCTTTTGAGAAATAATTGTTCCTTCTTCAAGCCGCTCGCTGTACCACGGAATCGTTTTAGATCCAAAAATGTTCTAAGGACAAAGGCATTGAACGCTCCGATACCATGAAGCCGATGTGTTCAAACAAAACAAGATCAGCCCGACAAGATCCAATAACATTGCGCGGCACAACCTGTTTTTAGGCAAGCCGAGACGCTTCGCCACCGCTTGAGGGCGGGTAGCCCCGCCGCCCACGACTCCCAGAGATGGGGCCCCAGCCCCAGAGGCTGGGGTGAGTTCAGGAGAGACCTGCGTGACCAAGGGGCCGAGCGCACGCTAACATGGACAAAGGATACAAAACGAAGCCAGGACGATAACACATTCGCGTGAGGATAAATCGAGAATTTCTGAGATCGGGCAGCTCTGACGGATGCCTCGGGTGCCGCGGATTTCTCAGAGCGCTCCATAACGCTTGTGGGAACGCTCTGGGACGTATTTGTCCTCGTCCTAGCCCCGCCCGAGGATACGTGGATCTGGTGCGCGGGCGCCAGATTCATGGATCGGGGAAGGGGTACCCCCGAGAAATGGCGCCAGAGCCGCCCGATTAGGTGGCAGAGCGCGCCGGTTGTGTATGGAAACAGGACCCATCGATAATCCACACGCCTCGAGAGAAGGTTTTTTTATGGTGCGCGATAGCGGCCGCTTCTGGTCCTTGCCACCCCCCTCTTCTCCCCCCGGGTGACGTCCCGATCCGTGCTGACCTCCGAACTGGCCTGGGTTATTCCGAAACGCTCTCAGACGGCGCCGGCGTGAAGGGTGAAGTTATTACTGGCCCCGTAGCGCCCGTTGCGCCCGTTGCCGCCCGTTGCCGCCCGGGAGTGGGACCGCGCCCTGATCCATGCTGGCGTCTCCGCCTCCGTGCCGGCAGCCTCCTCCTCCCCCCCGCCTGCTCGCAGCGCTCCTCGGGCTCCTCGTGCGTGGTCCGTGTGCTTGCTGGCTCGGCGCCCTCCCCTGCCCCCGTCCACCCAGGAATCGCAAGCGTGGATTCGCAACGCGTGGATGAGCGGCGCGTGCCGCTTCCACACAGATTCGGGCCACCTTGGGAGCCTGTTGGGCCGTCTGAGAGGTCTCTTCGGCTGTCCTGGGGCGGTCTTGGGCCGTCCTGAGGCCTTCCGGGTATCCTCTTGGGCCATCTGAAGGCAGTCCTGAAGGCCTCTTGGGCGGTCTTGGGCGGTCGGAAGACGGGCAATAACGAGACCGCCAGGACAATTCAAACACATGTGGGAAACAATGAGTCTTGCCTCTGGGGGTCCTGTTGAGCCCCTCTTGGGACGTCGAGGGGGCTTGTTGGGCCGTCTTGAGGCAATCCTTGGCCGACCTGCAGGGATGTCTTGGAGGGCGCTCGGGGATTCGACGGCCCCCCTAGGGCCGAGGGGTTGAATACAGAACAGCTTCGCGAGAGGCTCCAAGAGCAGGAGGGGAGCAAGAGGTGCTCAGGGTGCCCCTGGTGGAACTTGGCCACGAGGACACCCGGGCCAGCTTCTGGCATATGGGTGATTCAAGTTGCTTCTACTCCAGATCCCGCCCCCGCCCCTTCCATATCTCTCCCTACCCCCCCCAGACTTTCTCTCGTCCCGCACCCTCATTATCTTTACTCCCCCATGTCCCGTACTGCATGTCTGCTGTTCCTCCGCCCGTCTCCTCCTCCCCCTTTCGTCGTCGTCGTCGTCGTCGTCGTCGTCGTCGTCATCGTCCTTCTCCTCCAAGTCGTCGTCCTTCTCTTCCTACTCCTCCCACCTCATTATCCATGGCTTTCCCCCTCGAACATGCTCGCTGTGAGTGCTGCTTACGAAGACCGTAAAAAGGACGCACGATCAGGATGCAAGGGCCTTGGGAGGCCGTGCCGACACTTTGCGAGCGGGTACCCGTCGGTCGGAAGAAGTGGGTATAAACATGGAGTCGGAAGGCGTTTACCGCCCGCCCCCTGAAGAGGAGGGAGAGGGAAAACCGCTCGACCCTTGAAGTAGGAAGGCGGCTAAAAGCAAATTGGGCTCTGAGGATCCGAAAATACATACTTTCAGCGACTGGCGTGTACAACCTTGGGAAGTCGATCATCCTTACTGTGCGGGTGGACTGTGCTCCTTGCCCTCCTCCTCCTCCTCCTCCTCCTCCAACTGCTCTTCCTCCTCCTCCTCCTCCCTCCCCATCCTCCTCCTTCCCCTCCTCCGCCTCCTCCTTCCCCCTCCTCCTCCCCCCGCCTCCTTCCCCCTCCTCCTGCTCCTCCTCCTCCTCCTCCTCCTTCCCCCTCCTCCTCCTCCTCCTCCTCCTCCTCCTCCTCCTCCTCCTCCTCTTTCTCCCTCTCCCCGGACATGCCGCGAGAGCGGGGCTCCGCCTCCCAACGGGCATGCAGCCTTATCGCGCCACCCCCTCCAGCCCCCTCCAGCCCCATCCCCCTCCGACCCCCTGCAGCCCGCATGCAGCCCAGTCCAACCCCCTCCAGCCCCCTCCAACCCCCTCCAGCCTCCTCCAACTCCCTCCAAACCCGTCGAAGCCCCTACGGCCCCTTCCAGCCGCCTCCGGCTCCCTCGAAACCCCTCCAGCCTTCTCCAAACCCTTCCAACTCCCTCCAGCCCTTGCACCCCGCCAACTTTCTCCAAGCCCCCCCAACCCCCTGAACCCCCTCGAACTCCCTCCTACACCTCCACCGCCCTCCAAGCCGGCCCAACCCCCTCCATCTCCCTCCGACCCCCTTAAGTCCCCTCCAACTCCCTCCAATCCCGTCGAAACCCCTCCAACCCCCTTCGAACCCCCTTCCAACCCCCTCCACCCCCCTGCTCCCACCTCCAGCTCCATCGAACCCACTTGAACCCCATCCAGCCCCTTCCAACCCCCTCCAGCCCCCTCCAACTCCCTCCGCTCTTTGTTTGAGGAAAATCGTATTGTCATAATTAGTGACCATCCCTCAAGAACACGATAACTCCGTCGGCCAAAACAAGCAGAACGTTCAAGGGTACCCTCCCCAGGATGCACAGCATTCTCCAACAACCACGAAGAACATGAGGGTACCCTCTCCGAACCGACCTCGATCTCATACCTCGCTCCAACTGTACGTGTTTGCACGTTTTGTTCAATCGATGTGTTCGATCGATTTGTTGCGCGCATGTCTGTTCGCACGGGATCCCGCTCTAGCGGTGACCGCGTTTCAGGATCGGCGCCTCGCGCCCGCCCCTTCAGACTGGCGCTCGCCCTCGCCCCAACGCGGGCCACACCGCTGGCTCCGATGCCCTCCTCGTCGCTGTGGTCCTCCTGCTTTCCCCTCCTCCGCCTTCCCTGGGTGCCGCTGCTCGTGCTCCTGCTCCTGCTGCTGCTGCTGCTGCTGCTGCTGCTGCTGTGGGCAGGGGGCCGGTCTTGCAACGAGGGAGGGCCGTGCCTTGAGCAGGGACCGACCGTCCCGGCATTCCTATAGCCATACCACGACATGTTCGTAGAACCCCAGAATTTTCTAAGAACAAAAACATTGTTCTTAGAACATCAACCCGATGTGATAAAACAAGACAGACTCCGCCAGAAATGTTCTAAGAACATTTCGTGGAAACCACAAAAGGTTCTTAGAACATTGTTTGGCAGGGCTATAGGCGAGCCAGGACGCTTCGCCGCTGCTTGGAGTGCCGTCACGTCCGACTCGGCGTGTCAAAGATGGGGCCCCGAAGAAGGGGGCCATGAGGATATGAAGGGATGCCAAGCCGAATTTAGGAGGAGGAGGAGGAGGAGGAGGAGGAGGAGGAGGAGGAGGAGGAGGGGGAGGGGGAGGAGGAGGAGGAGGAGGAGGAGGAGGAGGAGGAGGAGGAGGAGGAGAGGAGGAGGAGGAGGAGGAGGAGGAGGAGGAGGCGGAGAGAGGCGGAGGAGGAGGCGGAGAGAGGCGGAGGAGGAGGAGGAGTTGGCATGGGCTTCCACGGCGTCCTCAGGTCCCCATCCCTTAGGGCTCCATTGTTGAGCCGCCGACCGCAGCCCTTCCAGCGCGCGCCCCCGCGTCGTCGCCGACACCGAAATCGCTCGTGCGCGCCAAGCCCCGGCGCGGCTTCTGGAGTCCGGGCGGGAAGGACGGCTGCTGGGGCACCTGCCTGTTTTGTCGGGGCCTCTTCGGTTCGAAGTCTCAAGCCTGCAAAGAGCGGGCAGTCACGTTGGAGAGAGAGAGAGAGAGAGAGAGAGAGAAGCGTGCGGTCCGAAACCGGCTGCGAGGAGACGGTGGAGGCGAATCGCGGCACTCACAAGCCCCTTGGAGAACCATCTCCCCGAAGGTCTTGCTGGTGGGTCCTCGAAGCGCTGAAGGCCAAGTCTGCTGCGAATCCCTTGGGAAACCCTTGGGCTTGAGCCAGGGAGCATTCAACAGCGGAAAAAGCGCACCCAATATTCAAGGCGAACCTAGAAGAACATACTTCAAGTCTACAGGCGGAGCCCAGTACACACCCGTGAAAAATCTAAGTATACCTTCGTGCAACCTGGTGAAACAACACAGCTGGTGTCAACGTGCCGGCTGACTCACGGACGACTCGAATGGCCACGACATTGGCCAAACTTCGTGAGGGCATCTGGAAGACGACAACTGCCGTGCCTGGTCTGGGCGCCCTACTCCCCTACTCTCCAGTGTCCCCTGCAGACTCAGCAGCGAATCCTTGAGACTCAGCAGCGTGGCTCTCTTCAGGATCCTCGCCAGCCTCTGCCTGAGAATTCTTGAGGCAGTCTACATACTCATCTTCTTTCTTAAAAGGATGGTACGCCACCATTGAGGCATCATGGCAAGTGCGCCAGCCATCGTCATCAGGGGGGTCGCAATGGTCTTCAATGAGCAGTTCGAAGACGTCGTCGCGCCTTACCTGAAGAATCTTCCAGAGGCACTGGTCGATCCACATGTCCTCCCCCCACTCGCACATCCCTGAGCACACTTGGTTCAACACATCCATGCATTGTGCTATCCCTGCGCCCCACGTCGTGACAGCGTTCTTGGAGAATACTTCAATCGGTCCATGCATGCCTCTCCAGCAATTGTTCAGAAAGACGCCCTTCGCCTCTTCAGGGTGCTCTACGAGGATGGCTTGGAGCCTTTTTGGGAACCAAACCGTATCTGGATCAGTCTTCACCGTCCAATCATACTTAAGATAATCTGCATCCGCAATCAGCTTCTTCCACACTTCGATGAAAATCTCAGTATTCAGCGCGGTTCCGAACTCACCCCCCATCGAGCATTGGAGGTTTACGTTAACTACTGTTGACTGGAACTTGCCACCTATAGTCACAGAAACGTTACTGTAGACCTTGCTTCCGTCGCAGGCGAAAATATTAATGCCTTTCTCATGCTGCATGCCCAGCAGCCCCACCTCGTAACTGCCTGGAAGCATCAGCGCCCAGCAGAATAGGCTGATGTCGCTGCCTTTACCTCTGTTCTGGCTGAGCGTATGACAGACATCTCCTGAAATGACGGACGGGTCGTTCTCTTTGATGAACTCCTCGCCCTCTGCGAGGCCATGGAGCCAACATTTGTCTGTCTTGCTGCTGCTCCGTACTTTTCCCCACGTCCAGCCGCTACACTCCGGCGTCAGCTCGCACTTGGCCAAGCAGAACTCCCAGGACCCAATATGGGACTCCTCGCCCAGGTCGATGGAGCTCTTGAAGTCCAGGTTGTCGTTGGCGGCGCCGCAGACGACGACATCGTAGGTCATCGGCGCCTCTCGGGCCGCACTGAGGGGAGGGGGGGAAGGGTTAGGGTTAGGGTTAGGTCGGGCATGTCCTCCTACAGGCGGATTTGGGCAGAATAATGGAAAATGGTACCAAAATACCCATCGTCAGAAATGATCGGAAAATCGTGCCCAGACGATTTTGTTTGTACTATTCTTGAATACTCTCCTGTAGAGTGACATGCCTGGCTTAAGGTTAGCTTGTCAACTCACGTGGCTGGTTTTCCCGGCGCCTCCCGGCGCTGGTGAGGCGGCCGTGTGTTGAGGAGTGTGCCCTCCCCCTGGCGGGACCGAAACCAGCTGCGTGCACGTAGCCACACCTGAGGAGGAGGAGATGGAGGAGGAGGAGGAGGAGGAGGCAGAGGAAGACTCGGGTTCGGGGGACTCGGGTTGGCCTGACGGGGCCATCATGAAAATGACGAGACCCAACCTGAAATCTGACGCGAACTCCCGCTGCAGACATCCCACGGAAAGTGGGCCGTCAAAGTCCAGGACGAGCTCGTCAACAAGCGCTGGCAAACCCGAGATCTGGCGTACCTGTCGGTCGGAAGAAGTGGGTAGAAACATGAAGTAGGAAGGCGTTGGAAGTAGATTGGGTTTCCGCCCCCCCTGAAGAGGAGGGAAGAAGGACAAACGCTCGACTCTTGAAGTACGAACGCGCCTAAAGTAGGAACCCAAAATACCTACTTTGAACGACCGGCGTGTGCAGTCGAAATCTATAGTAAGGTAGGGACGCAAGGGCCTTGGACGCTGAAATTGGTACTTTCTGGGCGGCGGACTGCCAACACCCAGAAGGGCTGGCCATTGGAAACCGCTAATTTGTATGTTTGATTTTTTTGTGCCAAAAGGGGCTGCAGATAGAAGCGTGCACACAGACAACGGCCCTGGCCACACTTCGTTGCGATGCTCTCCAGGACGGTCCAGATCTACGGTTCTCGACACTCCCTTCGCGACCGCGGGGAGCTCTCGCCAGCGGGCGCGACCGAAGATCGGTCCTGGACTTGCACTTGCAGGCGGGCTGGCGGGCGCAAGCGGAACCTCCGCGCGTCGGCTCAAGCCCCATTCACTTCACGTCTGGCCCGTCACAGCCGCTCTCCAGGAGAGCGAGCCGAAGGGCCCGCCGCGCAGTCCCAACTCCCAGCCGTGCCTCACCAACTTCTCCTTCGCCAAGGCCTTGGTGAGGACATCGGCCGGGTTGGCCTCGGTCGGCACCTTGCCGACCTGGAGCCGCTTTTCCTTGATCCAGTCCTGGACCGCCAACATCTTCAGCTCGATGTGCTTCATCCTCCCTGGCCCCCGCTTCTTGGCAACAGCGAGCGCCGAAGACGAGTCCATCATGATCGCGGGCGCGGCCTCGCCATAGCCCACCTTCTTCAGCAACGTGTCGGTGCCCAGCGTCTCGACCGCGCCCGAGCCGATGGCGTAGAGCTCGGCCTCCGCGCTGGACAACGCCGGGGTCTTCTGGGTCCGGGCCCACGTGAGCGCCGAGCAGCCGTGCATCATGACCGTGCCGCCCGAGATGCTCTTCCTGGTGTCTGGGTCGTCGGCCCAGTCGCTATCAATGCGCGTATTCAGGGAGTCCGACCCGCCGCGTGGCACGAGCAGCTGGTGGACCTCGCGCGTGCTCAGGAGGTAGCGGACCAACTTCTTGAGCATCCTCCGGACCTTCACTGTGGGCGCCCTCATATGCTTGCTCAGCTTGTCGACAACATGCTGGATGTCAGGCCGCTGGTGGCTGAGGTGCATTGCCTTGCCCACGCGCAACCTGTAGAGCACGGCGTCCTGGGCGCTGAGCTCCTCGTCGTCGTCCTGCTGCTTCTTAGCGTTGCTGGTCTCTGGCACCTCCGAGGTCGTCGCGTTCTCCATGCCCAGCAGCTCGGCTATGTCGGTGATCAGGAGCGGGTTGCCCTGTAACGTGAACCCGCCGTCCACCTTCCTGATGTTGAGCGCCAACAAGCGGCCCTCGTCACCATCCTCGAAGAGCTTCACCGAATCCTGCATGTTCAGCTTCTCCGTGACCTCCCCGAGGGACGAGTTCACCTGCTCCTTGGGCCCCGTGACGAGGAAGTCGTCGATGTGCCTCCCTGCCTTCTGGTCGTAATCGCCGTCGATCTTGAAGAAGGTGCAGCCGTCGTAGCGCGACTGCTCCATCTGCATGTCCCCTGTCAGCACCTTGCTGGGGCGTGCGCCCCAGGCTTTCGGGCTGCCCTTCAGCCCCGGGAAGGCCGAGACCGCCTTCCAGGCCATGTCGGGCGGCAGGCCGGCCTCCGGCGGAGGCTCGATGTAGACCTTGGCGCCCGTGCCGTCAGGATCCAAGGGCGCCTGGTAGAACGCGCCGCTGCAATCCCCGATCGCCGCCACGTGGCCCTTCCTCGCCGCGTCCACGAGCATCATCTTCAAGTGCATCGTGGCGGGCGTCGCCGAGAAGAAATCATCGTTGCCCTGCAAGGTCTGCTCGAACCCCCTTGTGGTCCAGCGAGCCTTCAGAGCTCCATCATCATGCTGGTCCTCCACCCAGCGTCCCGACAGAGGCCTCGACGTCGCCTCCGCTCTCGGCACCACCTTCACGATCTTGCCGTCCTACTTGGTCAACTTCGCGATGTGCTTGAGCCGCGCCTCGTAGAAGTTCGCCGGCTCCTTCTCCTCGCACGCCTCGCGCAACGCCGCAACTCTCCTGCGCTGGCTCGGCGGTTCCGCGTCGTCAGTGCCTCCATCGCGTTGCGCTGGCGCTGCCTGGGCCCCGCCGGGACGCACTCCCGCCGGCGGCGGAGCAGCTCCAGCCGCAGGGGCCACGGGCGCTGCTGCTGCGGCCGCTGGCGCTGGCGCCGGCGGGGGCATCGGCATCGCGCCCAGGCGCGCCCTCTTCGCCCTCTCGTGCGACTCCAGGCCTGCGCCTACCACGTCCATCGGTGCTGGAGCTGGTGGCGCTGCCGCTGCGGCTGCATCACCTGCTGCGGGCGCCGGTGGGGCCGCTGCGCCTGCGGCGCCCGCCTCGGCCGCTGGCGCTGGCCCAGCGGCACCCGCCGCCTGAGGCGCCCTCCCTGGCGCCACTCCTGCCGCGGGCTGCAGTGGGAGCGAGCCGATGATGATGGGCTGCTGGTCGCTCCCCACCTTCGGCGGCCTGCCCCTGATCGTCGGCGTCGCAAACCAGGGGCCCCACTTCATGGCCTCCAGCACGTCCCAGCGCCTGTCCTCCACTCGGCGTTTCAGCGCTCGGCTGCGCACCAGACCGTTCGGCGTGCCGATGAGGTGCTCGTCGGTCTTGGAGTCGCGCCCCAGCCGGATTCCCTCCAGCCAGGCCGTCTCCAGCTTGTTCAGAAGCGCCCCTGGGCGGCGGCAGGCCACCGCCTCGCCTGGCATCAGGATCGTGTTGGTGTAGGGCACCCTCCGGATCTTCTCGTGGGGCGCCATGCCCGAGTCCGCCCTCTTGTGGAAGCGCGCGTACTGCCAAGCCGCGTGCCTCGGCAACCACGTGGGCAACTTCGAGCCGTGCCTGATCCTGAGCCCCGAGTGCCTTCGCCTGGTTGCGGATCGTGGCCGCCATGCGCTCAGCTCCCCCGTTGCTCTGGTGGCTGTGGCGCTTAGAGGTCTGCATGATGATCTCGCATGGCGGCGCCTCCATCCTCGCGATCCTCGCCTTTACCTGGTTGGTGAAGGCTACTGCCGCCTGCTCGCCGTCGGACTGCAAGATGACCTTGTTGTAGCCCAGCTCCGAGAGGTAGGACGTGAACGACGCTATCGCATACACGTCCACCTTACCGTGGCTGAGCACCGATGATGCCCATGGGAATCCCGAGGCCATGTCGACCGCCACCGCGAAGTCGAAGTTCGGCACCTCCTCCTCGCCTTGCGCAGGTATGTTGCCAGCCTCCGCGTAGTCGAACTGGATGACTGGCGCTGGTTTCTTGGCGACGCCCTGGTGGCAGGCGTCGATCCCCTTGGCCTGCGCGCAGATGTGGCACCACGGCATCGGGGGGTCGTGCAGCAAGTTGTGCATCTCGATCTCCTCCATGCTCGGCTGCTTGGGGTCTTTGCGATCGACTAAGCGGGCCGTCTGGCCCAGTCGCAAGCAAGAAAACGGGCGGCATACGGAGTCAGGCAAGACACCCACCACTCTTTGAGCGGAAGTGGGCAAATGCGAAACTCTTATTTCGAACAAAGTGAAGAACACGCGGAGCTCTTATACCAACATGCGCGCATGCCCAGCACACACAGCATGGCAAGAGTCAACGCAAACGCAAAGTCCGAAGTATGTCGTGTCAACCCGCGGTATGACACGAGTATTGTGCTCAACGTGAAATGTGTGATAACTGAATGTCTGATAACGCACTCAAGTATCTTGAATTCTGAGCCCGAGCGGGCAGATGTGGGGCTCCAGCCCAGTTCACTCCTGAAATCAATGTGGGGCTACTGCCCTGTACACTCCTGAAACACGTAGCATGCATGAATGACAAGAGTCTTATGCTCAACGTCCAATGTGTGATACTGAATGTCTGATAACGCACTCAAGTATCTTGAATTCTGTACACTCCTGAAACACCTGATGAAATCGTGGGGCGTACGGCCCTATACTCTCCCGATGCACTGGCGGCCCACAGCGGGGCGAATAAGTGGGGCTCCAGCCTTATACACTCCTGAAATATCTCGTTGCCCGAGCGGGTAGTTAAACGTGCATAAGTGCAATGAATTCTGATCTCCAATGATATCATGATGAAATTCGCCGGCCCAGCGGGCCAGGGCGTGCTAAGATCTCCGGTAACAAGTAAACAGTATTTCTAGTTCGCGCGCGCAGGGCGGCCCCTGGGGGTCCCCGAGCGAAAAGTACCCCGGGCGATCCCCGGCAGATCCCCGGCAGACTAGGGGTCAGAGATGCCGGAATTCTGTTTCGGAGCCCAAGAGGGCTCCAGATCGCCCCAAGAGGGCCCCAAGAGGCCCCAAACATGGTCCAAGAGGGGCCCCAGACGCCCGAAGATCGCTCCACGACGCCCAAGATGGCCTCCAGACGACCCAAGAGGCCTCCAAGATGGCCCAAGAAGCATCTAAGAGGCCTCCAAAAAGGGCCCCAAGAAGCAAAAATCGTTGATTTTCCATTAGTTTTTGAATGTTTTTGGCGTTCTCGCATTTTCAGCTTCCGACGCTCCAAGACGCCCCAAGAGGCCCCCAAGACCGCCCCAAGACCGCCCCGAGACGGCCCGAGAGGTCTCCAAGAGGGCCCCCAAACGGCCCAAGATGGCCCCAAGACTGCCCAAGAGGCCTCCAAGACGGCCCAATACACCCCCAAGACGGCTCCAAGAGAGGGCGCAGACGGGGGACCCGAACGGGCATTTCGACATCTTTGCCCGAAGAGGCCCCTAGGAAGCCGCAAGAGGCCCCCAAGAGGCCCCAGGAGGCCCCAAAAACACCTCCAACAGGCCCCCGAGAGGCCTCCCAAGAGACCCCGCGAAGCCTCCCAAAGAGGCGTCTTGTCCACGACCAGGGCTGGCCCCCAAAATACTCCAAGAAGCCATCGAGAGACTGCCTCCTCGTCCTCATCCTCCCCTCTTCATCCTCCTCCTCCCCCCCCATCCTCCAACTTCTTCTCGCTCGCCACGAACGCACAAACATATAGCGCCAGCGATGCAATGTGGGCCGGCGGAATGAGCGAAGCGATTAAATAAGTGGGGGACCTGCCCTATGCACTCCTGAAATATGTCGTTGCCCGACCGGGCAGTTTCACGCGCCTAATCATGTGGACTGAATATCGCAACGATACTCAAGTACAATGAATTCTGAACTCCACTCGAGGCGAATAAAAGTAACTCTCGGATGACTGAATGTCTCATGCAAAGAAAAAGAATGCAATGATTTCATGATGAAATAAGTGGGGCTCCTGCCCTATATACTCCTGAAATATGTCGTTGCCCGACCGGGCAGTTTCACGTGCATAATCATGTGGATTGAATATCGCAAAGATACTCAAGTACAATGAATTCTGAACTCCACTCGAGGCGAAGAAAAGTAACTCTCGGATAACTGAATGTCTCATGCAAAGAAGGAATATGCAGTGATATCCTGAGAGGCGAAGATACAATACGAATTGCCACCACCAAACACAACAATAAATGAAAATGAGAGGCCGACAATGACAAGCGAGATGTACAGGGATATGGGCAGTTGCGTAAGCGGAGCGGAGCAGGGGGCCCGACAGGGTCCTAGCTGGGGTGATATCCGCCTCGGCGCGCTCGACCTCGGCCTCTGGCGTCTGGGCCCGCGGTTACAAGTCCCGCAACACCTCTTGGTCAGCTCGAGCTGGGGCCACTGCGTGCTCCTATCGTCGAAGCTGCGCCCTCGGACCTAGCTCCAAGGGACGGGCTGGTCCCGCGCTCCCTGAGCTGCCTCCATCCAGGGTCGGTGTCATCGTACTGCCCTGCTCCATCGTTGTCGCCGTCGTGTTGCACTGGCCCACCCAGCACTTCAACGAGTAGTGGTTCTTCGCGCGATCCACCTACACCTTGCCAGCCAGCTCGTGATTCAACGCCCCGCCGTGCTCGTCAAAGTGGGCCCCCCTCGCCGCGCCCTTCGCGCAGAAGTTGCCGACGGAGAGGATCGGGCCCTTCACGTCGCGCGCCTGGAACGTCGCCACGATGCTGCGGCCATCTTTCAGCTGCATATTGACCTCCTTCTCGCCGTAGTGCTTGATGCGCTGCCCGGTCGCCGCCTCGAGGTTGGGGCCCTTGCTCTCCCTCGGCGGGATCCACCAGAAGTCGTGGGGGCTGCAGACGTGCTCGTCGGCGCAGGGCCTCTTTCTGGTCCTTGATCCTCGCCGCGTAGTTGCTCGTGCCAGCCCGCTCCGTCACCGCGAAGATGTAGCCGGGCTTGTACTCCCCCTCAATCGCGTAAGTCAGCTGGCGCACTCCTGGTCCAGCCGCAACCTGGCTCATCGAAGCCGGAAGACCGATCGTATATGTCCCCGGATACGTCGTGGCATCGCCCTGGCCCAGCAGCTCGTTGACCTGCTTCGGTCCTGCACCGCAGCCTCTGCCCTTCCTGTCCTTGGTGCTCGCCTTCCACTTCGGTTTGTGCCAGCAGTCTTCCTGCAAGTGACCTATCTCGCCGCATATCCAACGCGGAGCACCTCGTATCCAGTCGGCGTGAAATTGATGCCCTCGGCCTCTTTGTTCTTGCCCTTGCCGCGACCGCCCTTGGGACCCCTGTCCTTGCCCTTGTCCTTGCCTTGCGAGTCAAGGCGTCCACTTCCATTGCGTTCGGGTCTCGCTGCTGGCCTCCACCATTGCGTCGGGCACGGTGTGGAATCGGTACTCCAGCGACGCAGTCCGCGTTGCTCTGGAGGAACTGGAGGGTGACGCTCTTCATCATGGCGAAGTCGTTGAGGTTCTGCACCTGCAAGAGCATCTTCACCGTAGCTGGCGCCTTGTCGACATGCAGTGCCTTCTTCATGGACTCGTTGATGACGTCGCCTGAGATGACCTCCCCTTGCGAATCGTCTCTTCCCAATCGGCCAGCTTGGTCTCGTACGTTGTGAGGTCCGAGGGGAACTGCGGCCAACTCAGGATGCTCGACATCAGGCTCCGGATGCGGGGCGCGGCATTGGGCTCGTATCGCTTCAGATGGGCCCTCCATGCCAAGGCCCCGTTCTGCTGGAGGCTGCCGCGCAACACCCCCAAGGCCGGTCCCTTGGCCGTCATGACCAGCATGTGGAACATCTTCCTGGCTGCCTGGCGGCCTCCAGCTCCCAGCGTGCGCTCGATCGCGGCCATGGAGACGTCGGGCTCCGCAGTCGCCTCAGCTGCCTCTATCGGGGCCGTCATCTCATCCGCCTGGACCGTCAGGTGCGCGCGCATCACGAAGGACCATTCGGTCCAGTCCTGTTCTCTGCCCGTGAAGCTCGGTGGCTTGGACAGCCGAAGGACATCCTCGTCATTCGCGGCCATGTCGCTGCTCTTGCCGTTCTCGTGCTGCGCCGCGAGCTCGCCGGAGCCGCCTGGTGCAAGACGCGCCGCGCCGCGAGCCCGCTGGGGCCGCCTGGCATGCGCCGATCCGAGCCCCACCGCGCGCGAGGCTTGCCGCGGATCACGAACACCGCTCCGCTGCCATGATTCTTTTTGTGCCAAAAAGGGCTGCAGATAGAAGCGTGCACACAGACAGCGGCCCTGGCCACACTTCGTTGCGATGCTCTCCAGGACGGTCCAGATCGACGATCCTCGACAATCTTATTTGGACGCGGGCTGACGACTAGCCTCAGCTCCGTTTGCAGACGCCGACGAGCGACGAGGGGGTCCGAAAGGGACCGAGAGGGACGAGGGACAGGACCCAGGAGCCAGAACGGAACCGATCGAGGGGACCGACCGAAAACAAGGACCGAAAACACGAAAGGCCACAGTCACCAGAGCCAACTGGCAAGCTGGCGGAAGAGCGAACAGACGGCAGAGCACGCTGATGGTACCGTCTCTTACGGACGGTTTTCATCATCATCATCATCATCATCATTATCATCATCATCCTCATTATAGGCCGTGAGTCCACATCAGCGTGGCGAGCAGGTGGTCGATGCGAGTTCGGTGCGAACCTGAAGGGAGGGTCGGCACGAACGCTATCAGGAGGTTTGCCACGATCAGCTTCAGGAAGAACCAAACGAAAGGGCTGGGAACGAATTGCACCACCATGCGGGCCAGGCTCATCATGAACGGGATCCACACGATCGGCACCCTGAACACGTTCACGAACAGGTTCCTGTAAAGGACCTTGATCAAGAATTGGGTGAAACCAGGCACGGGCAACCACCAGGCGCGCAGCCCACCAGGACGCGCCGTGAACGACATGACTTTCAGGATGGCAGCCTCCAGCATAATGAATTGCAGGAGATTCTCCACGAACATAATCAGGATGCTTGCCGCGAGCAGCTTCAGGCAGAACGGGATGTACAGGAGGAGCTGCGCCACCATGGGGACCAGGCTGAGCGAGAACAGGTGCCATACGATCAGCAGCGTGAACCAATTCACGAACAGGTTTCTGCAGAGCCCCTTCATCACAATCAGTATGTTGAACGCACTCATGAGGCTCAGCGCATTGAATTGAGGAACGTCGGGGTGTTGTTGAAGACCCCCAGCTTCGGCATCAAGAACGTCGGCAGCCACACGAACATCACCAACACCATGTGGCACAAGGACTTCGGCCACAAGGGCACCATCTGCATGACGAAGCGAAGGCAGAATGAGCTCATCACCCCCTTCACAAGGAACTGCAACTTTGGCACCCACCACCGATCAATGCACATCAACCTCAAAAGCAGGCCCGTCATGAACTCCATGGGCAACTGCAGGGTCGAAGAGGCGAGCACGGAACGCCTCCAACACCTCAGCAAATATTGCGCCCTAGTGGCAATGAAGAGAGCGACGGTCCGCAAGTGCCTGGGGGCGCCCGATGACGCGGCCAGTTCCCGTGCACCAGTAAGGTCTTCCACCTCGCTGATGCAGTTCGCGGGTATGTGCGAGAGACGGGCGGCAGCGACAGCCTCGCCCATCTTGCCCTCGCCATCGCTCGGACGTCATTTTTTTTTTTGTTGGTTTCGTGCGTGTTTTTTTCGCCACATGGTCAAGGATGTTCCTCGATGGCCCTCGCCGAAGGAAAGATGCACACGTCCGAGCGATGCCAAGTGCCCGCATGCCAACCCAAGGCACCTGTCAGCTCCCAGTGCGCCGCCAGGGACCCGCGGAACGCCTCCGTGCGCCGGGCGAGGGCCGCAGCACGAGACTTTTCCAAGCTGCTGCCGTGCGGGGCGGAAGCAGCAGCCCAAACCTTGCCCTTCGGGCAGGGTCTTCGCTACATGGCCGCATGCGCAGAAGCAAACGCGCCGCGGAGGGGGCGCGTCTCGCGGAGCGTGGGCCCTCCCGTGAGCCAGGCTCGCTGGAGCTCCTCCTCCTCCTCTTCCTCCTCCTCCTCCTCCTCCTCCTCCTCCCCTCCCGTGAGCCAGGCTCGCTGGAGCCAAAGTGGCTACGGATGCGGAAGCCGCGAAGGGCGGGCCGCAGATGCAGGGACGCAGGGGCACGCCAAGGACGGCCGCGCGTCCCAAGTTTTGGCCGTACTCGAATTTTACGTTTCCCCAACCTTCGGGCGGGTGGTATAGTGGGGGGTGACCTACATGGGGGGTGAAGAGAAAGGCCCGAAAGAAGCACTTTGGAGTCGGGGGCGCGCAAACATGGATTGGCGATCCATGGATTTGGCGCGCGGTCGCCAAATCCATGGATCGGGGGAGGTTTCCTCCCCAAAATGCGGCCGATGCCGCCTCGCTCGGGGGCGGAAATCCGCGATTTCCCATGGAAAAGGGACACGTCGCTGATCCACGTCCCATTGGTCCATGTTTGCGCAAGGCTGAACCTAAGCGGTGTTTTTTGTTTTCGTTTTGTTTTCGTTTGCCCTCGCTTCTGTCTCCAATCCGCCCTTGCGGCAAAACGAAGTCGAAACGAACACGGCCCACGAAATCACCAAAAACACCGTTTAGGTCCAGCCCTGTGTTTGCGATCGCTGGGCTTCGCCCACTCTGGCCGCCTGAGGCCCCGCCTTCCTGTGCCCTGTCCCCCTACTTAAAGCTGTGCGTCGCCCGCCTAGCTTTTCGCGGAAGAGATTCGCTCTCGCCCCGCAGATTAGAAAAAACTTCTGCGATCGCCCGAATTTCGGTCACCCCCCAATACAACCCGCCCGAGACCCACCTCCCCCTCCCGTCCGGCCCGGGCCTCCAGGACGGGTGCGTGTCCGTCCTCGTCGCCTCCGTCGGCGGGCCCGTCCGAGGCGGCCGCGTGGGACGCCGCCGTGCCGCGGCAGGGCCTCCCGGACACCATGCCTGGCCGGGGGGCCCGGGGGCACACGGCTGAGCAGGCACAGACCCCAAGATCCCCCAGCGTTTTCCATGCTTCCTGGATCCTCGCCTCCCCCTCCACCTCCGGCACGCTTCACCCTTTCCTGGGGGGTCGGCGCTCCTCTGTGCCTGTGCTTCTGTGCCCCCTGGGCGCCCTGCTGCTTCAGCGGGTGAGGCTCCTCGCCGCCGTCTATGCCCTTCAGGAAGCACACCTCGCTCGCGTCCTCGACCTGGGGGTCCTTGCCCCAGGTCCAGGCGGAGCAGAAGAACAGGCCCTCGCACTTTGCACGGCAGTCCTTGGCGCTCTCCACGCCCTGCAGCTCTGCAAGCGTGACGGCCGTCCAATACAGGATGTCCTCGTCCGTGGACTCGCAGTCCGTGGCGATGGCGAGGCGCACGACGTCGTCCGCTCGAGCTCTGAGCCCGTGGCCTGCGCAGAAACCAAAGCAGCGCTGGCCCTGGCCACACCACGGTTGGAGCCCCCCCCCAACGAGGTCCCTGCATCGGGGGTCGGAGGATGGCGGCGTCGGTGGCATCGGGATGGGGAACATCGCGATCCCCATGTTTGGTGGCCTGGAGTGGCTTCTTTTGGCCATCGCTCGGACGTCCATTCCCTGTGTTTTTTTTGGTTTCGTGCGTGTTTTTTCGCCAAATGATCAAGGATGCCCCTCGATGGTCCTCGCCGAAGGAGAAATGCACACGCCCGAGCGATGCTAAGGACTGGGCTCAGGAACCCGCTGGGCCGCACGGGCTCGGGAGGGAGCGCTGGTGTGACGTGGCCCCAGCGCAAAAGAGCTGCAGCACGCGCACACGCGGCAGGACATCTTGCGGCACAGAGGGCAGCCGGCGGCACGCTTCTCGCCCATCTCCGAGGTTCCCGAGGTGCCCCGCAACTTCTGTGTCCCTGGGGGCCATCGGGGGGAAGGACATTTCCGCAGGGCACCTGCCGAGAGGCCCGTGTCGTATCATATGTTCGAGTAGGAGATCGACTACAGAATTGATTTACCCCTGAATTGATTTTCCCCTGAATCTGCGAGAGAATCGTAGGATGCTCCGTAGATCTACTGAGCATTGTATATCATCTTAATAGATTCGATGAAGAAATCAATTTCGGGGTAAATCAATTCTGTAGTTAGTAATCGATCCACTAATCTGTGTCTACTGCACGAGTGCATTGGAAGCGGCGGCGGGCTCGCGACGAAGCGAGGGCCGGTCAAGAAAGGGGTGGGGCCTCAGAGGCGAACCCAGCGCAGGTCGTGAAGCGACTCTCTCTCTCTCTCTTTCTTTCTGTGATTCCTCTGCTCCTGGAACATGATCCTTCGACCCCTTCGGGGTTCACCGCGTGTGTGAGATTGGGTTGCCCCACTAGGATCTCCAAGTCGCTCAGGTGAGAGAGGGACCGGGGGGGGGGGCGGGCTGGTGAAAGGGGGTCCGAGCGGGCACTTTTCCCGTATGGGGTCCTCAAGACCACCGCCAGGGTGGCCCAGGAGACCTCCAAGACAGTGCGAGGAGTCCGAAGACTTCTCGGAACCTCGTGCTCTCTGAGCATGGCGCTCAAGGCGCAGCGGGCCGTCAAACTCCTCCTCCCCCCTCCCCCTGAACAAAACACATTGTGCAAGGCTTCTGGTGCAAGGCTTCTGGCTGCGCGAAAACTGAAGGAACGACGCAATGCTCACTTGTCGATTGTTTCTGAGCCCCTCGAAAAAATGCCTGGCGTTTGTTGGCTTGATCGACCGCTGCACTCCCCCCCTCCTGAAGTCTCGGCTGGCCTCGGCAGCCCCCCTCGAGTATCGGGTCGGGCGAAAGGGGGGGATAGCAAAGGGGGGGGGAGAATCAGCTCACGTAGCTGATGTTCCCGGCGCCGGAGGCGGCCACGTCTCGAGGAATGGGCCCCTCGGTGACGCCGAAACCAGCTGCATGCGGCAAATTTCGCACCCCCCCCCTTCCCTATCCCCCCCTTTCGTCCGGCCCGAGAGCAGGCCGGGGCGGTCTCCACGCCCACACCCTGGGGAGCGGAGCGCCCCGGGGGCGCCGTCGGAGGCGGCGCCGGGGTGCCGAGACCACCCCGGACCTCTCGCAAGGGGGGCCTGGGGAGGCCGGCAGGGACGACCCCGGAAGGGGCTGTCTGTGCGCAGCCCGAAGCCTCGCCCTGCGGGCAGTGAGCTGTCGAGCCCCCCCTCCTCCTCCTCCCTCCTCCTCCTCCTCCTCCTCCCTTCCTCCTCCCTCCTCCTCCTCCTCCTCCTCCTCCTCTCTCTTCCTCTCCTCCTCCTCCTCCTCCTCCTCCTCCTCTCCTCCTCCTCCCCCTCCCCTCCCCTCCTTCTCCTCCTCCTCCTCCTCCTCCTCCTCCTCCTCCTCCTCCTCCTCCTCCTTGCTCCTCGCTGCTCCCTCCCCTCTGGGGCCCTGCTTTTCGGGGGCACGTGACGCTTGGGTTCGGGACTCGGGTTGGCCTGACAGGGGCCGTCCGGACAGAAACGGCGAGGGCCAGCCCGACGTGTGGCGCGAGCTTCCGCCTGCTGCAAGCCCAGACCCCCGACGTAATGATTTTTTCATTACGTCGACCCCCAGAGATCCCGACCCTTTCCCCATGACCGGCTTTGCATCCTGAGTCGTTTTTTGACCCTCCCGAGGCCCGGTGAGGGCCTCCCGAGGCCGAAAATTAGGAAAAACCTCCCGTCGTGATTTTTTCATTACTCGAGGGGGTCCGGGAGCATCCCTCGCAAACTGCACCCTCAAACTCCTGCAGGGGCCCGCCCAAAACAGCGCCGGCAAACCCGGGCCCTGGCGACCTCGAGCCCTGCGCGTGCCCCGACGGAACAGCGTACGCCCCGCCCTGGTTCTCTGGAGCCGTCTGTCCACACTCCAGGTTTTGGCGGCGCGCAGAGGGGGGGCAGGGGGAGGGGGGGGGGGCAGGGGGAGGGGGCAGGGGGAGGGGGGGCAGGGGGAGGGGGGGGGGGGGAGGGGGGGGGAGGGGGGGGGAGAAAGGCTGCTTAGAAGCAGGCTGCGTCTGAGAAGGCGCGGGCCTGCCATCTAGAGACGAGGCCCGCGCCCTCTGAGAAGCAGGGGAGCTCCTAAGAAGCCTTTCCCCTCCCCCTATCCCCGTCCCCAGACCCCCGACGTAATGATTTTTTCATTATGTCGACCCCCAGAGGTCCCGACCCTTTCCCCATGACCGGCTTTGCATCCCGAGTCGTTTTTTGACGCTCCCGAGGCCCGGTGAGGGCCCCCGGAGGCCGAAAATTAGGAAAAACCTCCCGTCGTGATTTTTTCATTACTCGAGGGGGTCTGGGTCTGCGCGCCGCCGAAGGTTGCTGGGCGGGCGCCTGCGACATCGGCACGGCCGGAGCCCCCGCGCCCCACGGCCGCCGCCGCCAGGCCGGCCGCGGCCAGGGCGGCGACGCTCAGGGCCTTGGAGGGGAAGGGGGGGGGGGGTCGAGGAGGAGGAGGAGGAGGAGGAGGAGGAGGAGGAGGCGGAGGCGGAGGCGGAGGAGGAGGAGGAGGAGGAGGAGGAGGAGGAGGAGGAGGAGGAGGAGGAGGAGGAGGAGGAGGAGGGCGACGGGCGACGCGAGGCGCCGGCCGCGCTCCTCCGAGACCCTGGAGGCATGCGCTGGCCACGGCACTCCAATCTGGAAGCGCCCCGCGCGCTTTGAGGGCCTGCGGCTTCGCTGCACATCCAGCGGTGGCTGGCGCACTCGGACACCACTCGGACTGCGCGGGGCCCCGCTCGGAATCTTCGCGGACCCCGTTCGGCAACTACTCGGACCTACTGGGGCTCTACTCGGACTCGCGTTGGACTTTGCATGACATTTACCCTGTCTGTTCTCGTAGCCCCGCTAGCCATTAGCAACCTTTGGAGCCCTTGGCAACTCGCAGGGGTCCATCAGGCCTCCGCGGCATCGGGGGGCCCGTGGCACCCGATGATGTTAGCCTGCAGGTGCCCACGGGGATCCACAAGGGTCCACCCTTGTGTCAGGTCGGGCCTGTCCCCCTACAGGCGGATTTTGGACGACAAATAAAGCATACCCAACAAATATTCAAACATAGTCAAACATGCTCAAAAAATCCTCCCCAGACTATTTTTTGACTATCTTGAAAGATTCCTCCTGTAGAGGGACAGGCCCGACTCAACCCTTGTGGGTGGGAGGGGTGTGTGGGGCGCTGAAGGAGGATCTCTGGAGGATCGACGATGCGCCGAGGGGGGCAGGGAGCGGGGGCAAGCCTCCTCAGAAGGCAGCGGGGCTTCTCAACAGCCCTCCCGTCTCCCGAGCAGCCCTCCGTACCCTCGGAGGAGGCTCGGGGGGCTTCTCCGAGGGCCGGAGGCCGTCTGAGTCTTCTGAGAAGGCCCGCGCGCCCTGGGCCTTCCCCCCTGGTCGTGCCGCCGCGAGGAGTGATGAGGATGAATCGGCGAGATGCGCACAGGAGGGGGGGGAGGGGGGGCAAGTCGGCCATCCCGCGGCGCACCGAGAGGAAGCAGCGAGGCGCCTGGCCAGCTGGAGCCCATGCCGACGGGAGGCCCGCCTGGAAAAACGCGGGCGGACACCGCCGCCGAGGGAGGCAAAGACGCCTGCGTGCTCCCCCTCCGCCTCCCGTCCTTTGCGCTGGGCAGGCCTCGATCGTGGGATCGTGGCGTTCCCCTCTCCTCCTCCCTCCCGCTTCCTCCTCCTCCTCCTCCTCCTCCTCCTCCTCCTCCTCCTCCTCCTCCACAATTACTCAATATGAATACTACTCTCCTCCTTCCCCTGATGACGGGTTGGGAGTGTTCGCCCCCCCACCCCCCGCGTACTGTTTTCTTACACACAAGATTCCCCGGAGTTGGGTTTTCGCCTGCATTTTTTTCAACATGCTGCTCTCGCTGAGGCGCCGGCCTCATTTTCGGGCCCCGCTCGTTCCGAATCGTGTTCCCGCTGCTGCGCTGGCCTCATTTCCGTGCTTCCGCTCGTTCCGAATCGTGCTCCCGCTGCAACGCTGGCCTCACTTCCGCGCTTCCGCTCGTTCCGAATCGTGCTCCCGCTGCTGCGCTGGGCTCATTTCCGTGCTTCCGCTCGTTCCGAATCGTGCTCCCGCTGCAGCGCTGGCCTCACTTCCGCGCTTCCGCTCGTTCCGAATCGTGCTCCCGCTGCAGCGCTGGCCTCATTTCTGCGCTTCCGCTCGTTCCGAATCGTGCTCCCGCTGCAGCGCTGGCGTCATTTCCCGTGCCATGCCACGGCATGCAATGCAATGCTAGGTTGCGTTCCGCTGCGCGATGCCATGCTTTCAGCTGAAGCTGTGATATGCAGTGCTTAAGTGCCACGTCGTGCTATGCCATGCTACGCTTTGATCTTCAACGCCATGCTATGCAATGTTATGTTTGGGGCCGCTGTGCGATGCCATGCTTTGCGTTGCAAAGCTTTGTAATGCAATTCTTCACTACGCCACGCCACGCCATGCTGTGACATACTACGCTTTGCGGTGCTCTTCTACGCCATGCCATGCCGTGCTCTACGATGCATCGCGTACCCTTTCGGGATCATTGCCCTGCTCGACATCCGACTGTGCGAGTAGAGAGGGGATCTACGCCATGGTACGGGATGGGAGGGAGGGATATAATGTCAGATATGACGCGAGCGCACCCAGCTTGTCCTCCACCCCTGTGGTTGCCGCTCCTCCGCGGGGAAGCGAGCGAAGCGCACGGGCAACCGCGAGGCCATCTCATCCTTCCGAGAGCGGTCGCGGTCGCAGTCCAAACTAGGCACCAACTGCTCGCGCGGATCAGACATCCACGTGAACATCCAGGGGGAGCCAGAAGGCACCGATACCGCTACTCCCTGGACCCCTCCCAGGGTGCGTCATGACCAGGATTTCGAGGCGAATCCAGCGGTGGCGACGAGGGCCTCCCAGGAGGCCCAAAAAGGAGAAAACGGGCGGAAGGTAGCGGTATGGGTATTTTCCACTCCCGTGACATACGCCCACGTCACGCTCGCTGCACCTCAACGCTCCACGCTGGTGCAAGAAAGCAGTCCCTCACTGCCATTTTTCGGCGGCGCGCCGAGGGTAAATGCCGAAGGCACGGGGCCTTCAGAGGGCTCGGAAAGGCCTCTGGCCTTCTGAGAAGCCGCCCAAGCCGTGCCCCAAACTCGGGGATTGTTAAAGGTACCCCTGGCTCAAGGTGCCCTCAGCTTTTCGCTCAAGTTTGGATCCCCTGGGGCTCTCTGGGCCTCGTGAGGGGTATTCTGGAAGCCGTGGGGGCCTCCCTGGACATCCTGGGAACACCTTTGGGCCAAAGGCACTGCTAGCAACACCCGGCAAACCACATGGCTTCTCAGAAGGCCGGAAGCAGGAGGAGGAGGAGGAAAATGGGGGAGGGGGAGGAGGAATATGAGGAGGAGGAGGAGGAGGAGGAGGAGGAGGAGGAGGAGGAGGAGGAGGAGGAGGAGGGAGGAGGAGGAGGAGGAGGAGGAAGGTGGAGGAGGGAAGGAGGAGAGGAGGAGGAGGAGGAGGAAGAGGAGGAGGAGGAGGAGGAGGAAGAGAGGAGGAGGAGGAGGGGGAGGAGGGGGAGGAAGAGGAGGGGGGGGAAGGGGGGGAGGAGGGGAGGAGGGGGAAGGGGAGGGGGAGGGGGGGGGGGAGGGGGAGGGGAAGGAGGAGGAGGGAGGAGGAGGAGGAGGAGGAGGAGGAGGAGGAGGAGGAGAGGAGGAGGAGGAGGGGGAGGATGGCCTCCCGAGAGGCCCCGCCACCTCGTTGAGAAGGCCTGCCAGCGGTGCTTCGCACTGCTTGGCACTGTTTATTGCTGGGGAAAATCAAGCCTCAACGCTGCGCCGTGTTGCTGGGCATTGCGAGGCAAAAGAAAGGACATCAAAGTCATCGACAAGTCAGCATCCGCAACGCCCGTCATCATAATACGGGCAGAAGTGCTTAGATGCTGGGTGCCCATTGCTGTTTGGGCCCCCCCGATTGCAATTACTGTTCGGGCCTCACATCTACTAGAAGACAACATCACACAAGGCAACTAAACAATTATGGCCGCATTCGGCGCGGCCTGTGTGCCGAGTCTAGGGGGCTCACCTAGGCCATAACGGTGCAAGGCGGCGATGGCAGGCTTTATGGGCCACCTCACGTGGATGCTTTGCGAATTACAGTCCGAGCGGGAAGCTGTAACCCCTGCTCTTCATCAGAACCCTGAGCTATTCTGCTGCAGCGGCGCAGAATACTTTCAAAGCGAAGGTGTGCTCGGACAGACTCAACGAGCAAAGTGGAGTGAACCAAGCGGGGCTGCGACCCAAGAGGGAGGTGGCCCAAGTGTCTTGAATTGCGTTATCAGGAGACATTGTGTTCAAAAGCGGTAGGCGCAAATCACCTCCAATTCGGTGTGCCATGAGTCGCGACGCTGCCATAATCAGCACCCTCCCGAGATCAATCGGATAGGCGAACACCAATAGAAACAAAACCACTCTGGTACTCTGCGTCGCGAAACGGGTACATCATATTCTGAGCCGTGCCAACATGTATGAACTCGTACGTGAATACATCTACTGATCTACTGGTTTACTGGTTTTGGGGCAGGGGGTACTACAGCACTCCTCAGACAATATACTGACGAAACACATGCAAGAGATGAGCATGCTACGAGGGTCGAACTGCTAGCTTGCCAGGTGCCAGCATTGGGACTCTCCTGACTCCTACCCGAGTGATCACATATAAGCAGTAACAGCGGCACACATATAACATTCGGACGTACGCGCGGAGCTCCGAAGCTTCATTTGCAAGCCCTTTTGATGTGAACGCGCTGCTCCTGTACGACTATCTCTATTGGCGGTCATGCCGCAGAGAGAGAGAGAGAGAGAGAAAAAAATATAATCGCCATAGAGAAGTTGGCATCCCTGGAGCCTGCCATCGTTGTCGGGGCAGGAGTGTGTAGACGCTGGGAGCCCGTTGCTGTTTGGGCCTCTGGCGTGAACGTTTCTCATCCCAGACTCTGGGCGCCCCAGAACTAGGCTTGCAAGCCAACTTGCGCACTGTGTGATCCTCCGAAGGCACGGCGATTGAATTGTAGAGCTTCCTTTACCGTGCGAGCAAGGCTTCGCTGAGCACGATGGTCGGGGCATTCAGCCTGCCCCTCGCGATCGCGCGGTGCGGGACTGCTGGCAAGCACGGGTGCTCGAGGGCAAAGGGGGGCGAGCCGGGGATGCATCACTGCCGCCAGAAAAGGTGGGGCAAGCTCCGCCGCCAAGACGAGGCCACGATCGGGACAAACTCGGTTCGGGACACACCGGGGGTCTCTGAGATCTCGCGGTTCTCAAAGGACGTATCCGGAACCGTGGCCGCTCCAGAGCGCTCCGACCGCTCTGGGAATGTTCCGGAATGCTCTGGGAAGGTCTACCCCAGTCCTGGGTCCGTCCAAGCCGCAGTCGCGGGCAACTGCCTAGCCCAGCCAGCTTTCGGCAGGCGGCAGCGACTCGGCGCAGGCCCTCGCAGGAGGCCTGGCCTCCGGGGACAGAGACAGCATCAGGTGCAGGTGATCGTCGAAGAACAACAGATGGCATGAACATAAACTTTCGGAGGTCCGCGCGGATTTCCTGGATCGGCGCAGGAGCCCCCTGGCGGCGCCTCCGGCGTCGCCCCTGGCGCGCTCCGCGGGTAAGGGAGGGGGTCCAGCACCGATCCAAGACAATCACGCGGACCTCCGACGAAAACATGCTCATGCAATTCTTGCTCTTCGTGATCGGTGCCCAAGTCGCTGATGGCCACTGGGGAACTCTCGGGTATCCTCAGGATCCCGCCGCACACCACGTCGGCGCTCAGCAGCGGGCGGCCCACCACGAGCCCTGCCGCCAGCAGGCCCACGGCGAATACGTCGCATGCGCAGGGGCAATCGCCGCTGAGAGGAGAAGAAAGTCTGCAACTACATAGTCTTGTGGAGCTCCGTGCGGGCTTCTTGGATCTGCGCTGCAAGCCCCTCCCTGGCGCGCGGAGCGCGCCAGAAGCGACACTGGGGGCGCCGCCAGGGGGTCCCAGCGCGGATCCAAGCGCAGAGCTCTGACACTTTATGCTTATGCAGACTTGTCTTCTTCGAGCTGGAACCGCGCTCTGGGGGCAGGATGTCCGGGCTCGCCGTGCCGCCAAGGCCGCCAACCGCGGCGAGATCCTGGCTGGCGTTGCTGCGCAGGGCGCTGCCGAAGTCCACGATCTTGACCGCGCCGGCAGCGGCGGGTCTTCCCACGGCACCACGGTCTAAGGCCTCGGCGTCGACCATGACGTTGAGCGCATGGAGGTCCCGGTGCGCAACTCGCTTTCCGTGGAGGTATGCCACGGCCTCCAGCAGCGCACCGATCGCGGCGTGACGCCCGATGCCACTCAGAGCAGTGCCCTTCGGCATCAGGCGCTCCACGCACACGCCCCTGCACAGCTCCATCACCATGGCGCACCCGCCCGTGCCCTCGATCAATTCCTCGTTGGACGCCCGAAAGGGGTACGGAAAAAATGGGCACGATGCCCAACAGCAAATGTTGTCCAACATCGACAACGGCCGCTGTCCTGATCAGAATGGACAAGAACTGCTGTCGGTCTTCGTGCCCATTCTTTGCGTACCCATTTCGAAAGCGTACTGGTCCTCGGCGCGCACCACTCCTGGGTGGCTCAGGTCGCGCAAGATCTCGTACTCTCCCCTCAGGATGGCGTTCAGGACGCCGCACTTCTCGTGCTCGTCCGTGCCCTTGGCCGCACAGCGCCTGCCCTCCCTCTCCACAACGACAACAGTGAAGCCCTGATTTGCACCGCTCCGTCCCAGTATGGCGCCGAGGCTGTACCCTCTCTCGAGGAGAACCTGGCGGTAGCCTCTGAAGGCCTCTGGTATTATTGTGGAGATCGTGAAGCCTCGCCGCACGAGCAGGCTGTTCGACATGCTGTTCCTGTGTGTGTCCAGCACGAGAGGCAACGAATTACATTTCTGGAAGGGCAGCCCCGAATCCGTCACCGACCTCGCCCTCCGAGAGGTGCGGCACGAGCCCTGGTGCTCGTCGTCCGCGTGCGGCTCGACGAAAGTCCTTCCGCAGGGCCAGTCGTGTGGGCTAGCACAGCCCTCGACGGCACACGGCGGCGCCATCGCCCACAACCTCTGCTCTCGTGGCTAACTGCGCTGACTGGGTCAAGCCACGGCTGGAATCTGTCGGGCACTCCGCGACATCCGATACCGCTCGGGCCGGCAAAAGCTGTGGAGTGTGCATGCCCAAATCCCACCGCAGAAGCATGCTGCTCAGTTTGGGCTCAAGAGGGGGCAACTGCAACAACGCACGCACTTAAGCTCCGCCTCCGAGTAACAGGAGCTTGAAGCGCGAGGGTGCGGCCACAGTTAGGAACAGCGAGTGCGTATAGGAATGGCACTCCTCAGACTTAGAGTTCGTTTCGGATATTGAAAATTGTCTAGGGTCGTTTACGGTGGCGTTGAACATGATCATTGCTAATGCGAGTTTGCCTCGCCAATGCATTACAAGCGTCGTCGTGAGAATAGGGTTGTGGGAACCCTACTTGACATCAGGACAACCAACATATTATTAAACAAATCGGATAGTTGTTCCCGAGCCCGAGCTGTCAATTTGGGTTTCTGATGCGGGCGGGGAAAGGGATTCATAAATTAGTGAATCGTAATGGGGGATGGAGAGAGGGGCGGATAAATGGCCGATGGCTGGTTTTTGTAAAGCACAATTTTTCAAAACATCGTCGAGAGGATTGGGATTGGGCTGCGCACCAGGCTAGAGCCCATCGGTATTAATTGAACCAGAGCGGTGGGTAATGTACGATTCGGAGCTCGAGCGGGGTCTCGCCTAGTAGAGCGGGGCCTTGTTAGGGCAGAACGGGAATAGTGGAATCACGGGGGTCCAAATCGGGGCGATCAGACCAAGGTACAACATACCTGCTGGTGTTTGCGCTCCACGGCCAATGCCCGAAACCACGCGCGATCACGCGCCCTGTTCTCGTTTAGCCGTGTATGCATGTCACTTGGCCTCGGTACTCTGTTGCGCACTGCCGTGATCAACTCCACCCAATGTGTCCCACTTATCATGATGGGGTGCTTCTGTGCTTATCGGGCCCGGTCTGATTTTGTTCGTGTGCTGCCTTCTTCTCAAGTGCGCAGATGTGCACATACATGCACATCAACCGCCGCATATGTACAAGGTTATGGGAAAACGCAACAAGCATGCGTTGTACGTCGTGCATTATGTCCTACTCCGCCCCCCCCCACCACGTGGGATATTGTAGGTAGTCTACCTGTGGTTACTGGGCCGCGCTTCCGAACGATTGCATACACAACAATGCAGTAGGCTTTTTTTTACCTAGAACAGCCATAATCCACCGAGTCTTGCGTCTCACAAAAGTCTCGCGAGCATCACAATCATGCAGCTTCGTGCGAACAAACAGCACTTACCCAATTCAAATTCAATGGCCCTTCAATGCGCAACGTCGCGCTTTGCCATGCAATGCGCCGAACAAACAACCAAAACACACAGCATGAACCATGTCCTTTTGAAACAATGCACCCGCGTCGCAATCCTTTCGGTAGGCCATCCAATAATCCGACCTGTCCTTGGCCAAGGCTTCTAGCTAGAGGTGGTTACCATGCGCCGTCGCCCAAACCTGACCACGTGGCCGCTCCATGGGCCGAGCAACTCGAAACCGCCCTCAGCTGGTCGAGTAGTTTTCTAATTCTCATCGAAAAACCTTCCACCAACATGCCGGACAGAAATACGGTTCAATAAACACTTTCGTACATATCTAAAGGGGGCGTTCCAGGTGTGAACAAGCGCCGGCCTGCATACATACACCTCGACGCCCTTGAGGTCATACACCGCCACGTACTCTAATATGTCTTTCTCAAACGCGCATCAACCATCAACCAACGAGCATCACATATGGGAAGGCGGAAAATGACACATCATATCACTCACTACGTGGAGCTCCCCATATGTGCATCTCATGTTTTATGTCATGCCATAGCAAGCGTCTGTTCATGACCGTCTGACTGTGATAGCGCGTCAACATGGGCGACAGTGCCGACGAAGACGAGTGAATCCTAATGCGAGTGAGTCAGTATGAGTCAGAGTGAGCTTTGAGTATGATTGAATAGGAGCCTCCCATTCACTCCCCCTCCTCAGCTGCCAGGCCGTGCCCTCCTCAGCCTGTGGTAATGCGCATATGTTTTAGGATCGTTGGCGGTGTGATCTGTAAAACGAGCGTTTAGCCACACAAGGCCATACGTGCATATCATAAGTTTGTAGGATAGTGCCACGGCGAGCATTTGTCCATGATAGGGTACGTGCCAGAGCACGACCCAAGGGACCAGCACGCCTCGATTCCTTCCTCCGTGCGTCCCAGAAGGGACGTGTTGGAGCACGACCCAAGGGACCAGCACGCCTCGACTCCTTCCTCCGTGCGTCCCCAGAGGGTACGTGCCGGAGCACGACCCAAGGGACCAGCACGCCTCGACTCCTTGCTCCGTGCGTCCAAGAGGGTACGTGCCGGAGCACGGCCCAAGGGAGCAGCACGCCTCATCTCTTTCCTCGCAGCATGAAAACGAGCAAACCGCCTGAGACATCCCCGCAAATTGGCCGCGAACGGGCCCGTGTCCTACCCCTTGGCGGCTCTCCTGAAGGATGCTGAAATCAGCGCCCCGCCTGAGACGCCCTCAAAATCTGCTCTGAAAGCCAAGGATGTTGGGCACGAAACTAAGCAAACCGCCTGAGACATCCCCACAAACTGGCCGCGAACGGGCCCGTGAAAACACCCCAATGGGGCCGCGAAACGTAGGAGGGGTGTGCCGAAACTGGTGTCGGTGACGCATGCGGGCTGCGCCACTGGGACCTTCGGTGGAACTCGTTATGGGGCCACGAAACGTGTGAGTGGTGTGCCGAAGTGGGTGTGGGTGACGCATGCGGGCTGCGCCACTGGGACCTATGGGGGTCACGAAACGTGAGGGGTGAGCCGAAATGGTGGAGATGCGGAGAGCAGAGGCAAGGATGGGAGGAGGGAGAAGGAGTGAGGAGGAGGAGGAGGAGGAGGAGGAGGAGGAGGAGGAGGAGGAGGAGGAGGAGGAGGAGGAGGAGGAGGAGGAGGAGGAGGAGGAGACGCGGGGCGCTACCCCTGCAAAACGAGGCCCCATCACCACAGGATGGTTAGGGAAGCGCCGTGAAAAATCACGACAGGAGCCCTAGACCCGATCTCTCTGCATCACTCTCCGAACCGGCTCGCACAGCCAGGGCCCCGAGGCCCGACACGGGGCGACAACGCCCGGCTCGACCAGGCAGAGCCGCCAGCTCGCCATCGCTCGGACGTCCATTCCCTGTGCTTTTCTTAGGTTTCGTGCGTGTCTTTTTCGCCAAATGATCCAGGATGCTCCTCGATGATCCTCGCCGAAGGGAAAATGCACACGTCCGAGCGATGCCAAGCTCTGCATCACTCTTCGAACCGGATCGAACAGCGAGGGCCCCGAGGCCCGAAGCGGGGCGACAACGCCCGCCTCGACCAGGTGGAGCCGCCATGGGATCTCAGGCCTGGACTCCGCCGCCCATGCTTAGGAGGAGGAGGAGGAGGAGGAGGAGGAGGAGGAGGAGGAGGAGGAGGAGGAGGAGGAGGAGGAGGAGGAGGAGGCTTTGGGGGCCCCCGGGCGAGGCCAGCGCGGCCGGCACCCGCCCGCAGCGCCGCGCGCCCGCGCGGCCCTCCGCCGCCGGGCTCGCCGCGGCCGGCAGGAGCGGCCGCTCCGGCCTCGCGGGCTCGCCCTCGTCGCCGGGGCCCTGCCAGCAGCCGCCCGGCGGCTCCATCGCTCGCCGCCGCCGCGCCTCGGGGGAACAAAAAGATCGCCTCCTCCTCCCTCCTCTCTCTCCTCCCTCCTCCTCCTCCTCCTCCTCCTCCTCCCTCCCCTCCTCCTCCCTCCTCCTCCTCCTCCTCCTCCTCCTCCTCCTCCTCCTCCTCCTCCTCCTCCTCCTCCTCCTCCTCCTCCTCCTCCTCCTCCTCCTCTATCGGGGCAGAGGTCTGGCACGTTCTGCGGCCTCGCGGGGCCCTTCTGCCAGGCCGGCGCGGCACACTGCACCGGAAAAACGGGGGCGCTGACGCGCGACCCTGCGCGGGCAGCTTCCGCGCGAGTGTCCGCGCAATCGGACACGCTTTCTGCGCCGCTCACATGGCCGCGAGCACGTCAAGCAAGAACATCAGCCCCGTCGCAACGGGCCCAAGGCCCCGTAGCGAAGAGAAAATTCCAGGGTTGAGGGCCGAAGGGGGAAGAACAGAAGGGTGCGCTTCACAGCTGTAGTTGTCCTTACCCCTCGCGCCAGCTGTGTCGAGGGTTCCAGAGTTCCGACGATATTTCTTCAATCCTGGCGTTCCCTGAGATGAGATCCTGGCGTCGCAGTGCTTTCACGCCGGGCGATGTTGCTTCGTCCCGGGCCCCGGGACCATCACGGATCGATCGGGCTCGAACGATCCAGCAGAAAGACGGGGTCTAGGGCTTTGGTCGTGAATTTTCATGACGTTGCATCGTTTTTCGTGACGTCAGATCTCTGGGAGGGCGGGCTGCCGGGCCCGGTATCATCAAAAGCGGATCCTGGACGCAAAACCCTGGGGAAAAGGTCGGGGCCTCTCGGGCCGCGGATTGAAGACACCGAATCGGCGGATGTCGCAGAGGACGGAGGGGATCGAGAGGGGGGACTGGCATAGGAGGAGGAGGAGGAGGAGGAGGAGGAGGAGGAGGAGGAGGAGGAGGAGGAGGAGGAGGAGGAGGAGGAGGAGGAGGAGGAGGAGGAGGAGGAGGGGGAGGGGGGGACGAGGAGGAGGAGGGGGAGGAGGAGGAGGAGGAGGAGGAGGAGGAGGAGGAGGAGGAGGAGGAGGAGTTGGAGTTGGAGTCCCTGGACGTAGTCCTTCCACTCATCACCTACACCCCTTCAGGGCTTTACGAGCTAATTCCGCTTTACTGTAGACTTTGGGCCATTGCCCCAACTTAATCAAACGAAGGTATTCACTCCTCGTCGCGGTGGGGCGGGGGACACAGGCCTTCCCGAGGCCGCAAAGCTGCTGGTCCCCATACATCCCACAACTCGCACAGAACCAAAGCATTAAATCGGCGTGAAACCTCATACAATGGGAGGGGTCCACAAACCCCCCAGCAATGTGAATGGTGGCCCCCTCAGGAAGTGCACGAAGGGAGCAATCAAGGGCAACTAACCTGAAACACGGAGACTTACGCCAGACCGAGACGCGCGCAGCCGACGCGGACCCACGGCACCGCAGACAGCGCCGACCACACTCCGACAGGGCATGGCTCGTCTCAAAGGCCGACAGAATATTATGACACGGAGGCGGGGGAGGGGGCGGAGGGTCGGCGGCAGCAGCAGCAGTAGGCTCACCGATCACCACGACTTCCCTCCGTCCCCGAGCTCCTCGCCTCGGGTGCCGACCGTTCAGCGGGGTCTCCTGCCGCGTCTTCTCGGCCTGCATGGCGTCGAGGTGCGACCTGAGGACCCTCATGCGGATGAGGTACAGCACCCGTTCTTTTTCCAGAATGTCTGTGCGGACAGCTTCAGGTATACGGGCGATGGTCGCACCTTCACCTGCCAAAGTGTCCGCTGCTGCATTGCCGTCCGTCATCCAAGAAGAGCCCGCTCGATGCACGACATCCTCGGCCTCCAGGTGCGAGTTCGTGAATAATACTGTCACATGCTCAGGTCGCCGTCCCGTGTTATGAAACAACAACCCTATCTTCGCCCACAACTCAGCGTGCTCTCCAATTGGATGACGATATTTCTGAGACCACCAACCTTCGTGCACCATCTGGTTGTCTGTCACATACGTTACATATTGTTCCGTCAGCCGCAAGGCTACCCAGAAGATATACAGCTCACCTCTGGGCACCGTCTGGACAACACCTGGGAGAGCTCCAAAGAGGGATACTTGCAGCTGGAGGTCCGTTTCACTTTCCATCTGCGCGAGACCGAGGCCGATACGTCTGAACCTCCCATCCGATGAATCCGCCCCGCCGCTGGCGTCGCCAAAAAGCAGCACTGGCCTGGCACACTCACCTGGACCTAGAACTCCATCAGCAACACCATCGTTGAGCCCCGTCTGGAACCAAGCCTCCTCATCAGGCGGCTCGGGTACCACGGTCCACTGTGCTGGCATGGCTCCACGGAGCCAGTACGCTGGGGCAGACTCATGTTGAGAGGCCGCTTGCATATACACCTCGTCCGACTTGGTATAGATAGGATGGTTGACGTTGTGCTCGCATTCCCATATTCGATGAAAAGATGACTCATTGCGTCTTTTGCAACGAGGACACAGCGCACAAACTTGGACCTTGATGGGGGCCTCAGCTCGACGGAGCCTCGGCCACGACCCTCCAGCAACCACCGTCGATAACAACTCAGAGAGCCTGCGCCCGCGTGGAAGCTGCTTTAGGTGCTTCAGAAGCCGCTGCAGAGATACAACATCCATGCCTTGCCCAAGACCTCCCCCGCAGAAATGCTTCTCAGCGGAAGCCCACGCGAGCCTCTCCGACGATCTGTTAAAATCCTGGAAAAAAGCTTGGTGTCGTTTAAAGCCGAGATGTCCGAATACCCTGCTTCTGGAAACCTCCACTCCGTTCCGTCTGCCATGATCCAGCACGCTGGTGATACTGGGTCCCATCCCCGTTCAAGAAGAGTCAAAATCGCCGTGGACATCGGCCCCCTCACCCACCTAGAGCGCTGATGGGGAGGCAGGCTTTTGAAATGACCGACAACCCGCGCCCACGCCTTGTGCACACGTCCTCGAATCTCTGGACGGGCGAACCACTGCTGGAGCCAAAGGTGCAAGGATTGCTGTGGGTACCTGATTCCAGGATCAAGCCCAGGCGCTTTAATGGCAAGCGTGGACACCAGACACCGACCACGGCCCCCAGACGAAACAGCGGCAGCCAAACTCCTACGAAAGGATACAAGACGTTGGCCGAAGGTGCCGTGGAGCTCCTGCCCGTAGTTGCCTGCTGCCTGTGCTCCGAGCCGTTCAAGCCTGGAGGTGATAGTATACTGACGTGAAGCGCGCGCATACCGACCGACACGAGCATGCATACGTCCGTGCTTGGCCACTCTTAGTACGCGTAGCCCGAGCCGTCCTTCTGCCTCCTCCCTGGTCAATCCCGGGATAAGCACCCTGAAGTTGCGGCCGAAAAATGAACCCTTGAACTTTCAGCCGTTTGGCGATCTCCTTGGCGTCCCCGTGGAAGGAACAAATCACGATCGACTTCGGCGACACATCCAAGTGCCACTTAGCCAGCTCATTAAAAGTGGCCCCCAGACACGCAGTTACCCCCTTGACGACCGACTGCCTGGACCCCGACATCCTCTGCGATAAATCGCCGATCCATATGCGATGGCCGAGAGCAGGGTGGGCACGAGAGATACGAGCCAAAACATAATGAGTCATACACTTCGCGAATCTTGTGCCCGACCTGAGCCCCTGGATAATACTACGATCGACGAGGAATGGTTCACATACAGCTCCGAATTGCTCCAACGTGCGCGCCGCAACACACTGGGCCAGTTCCATATATAATATTACTGGAGGAAATCCCATGCGAAGAGCCGCGACCACCAAGAGATCCCATCCGATACCGTCGCAGAACCCTTGAATATCTAACATGCCGTGCCCCGTCGGGAGCTTCATCCACCCCGCAATTTCGTCGGCTAACGTGCAGTGAAAGGCTTCCACCACAGAACTATTACCCTGTATGGCTGCATCCCACTCCGTTCCCACCAATCTCTGACTTGCTGTTCACGGATATCCGACCAGACGCGACCTATCATCGATATGAGCCCTATAACACGATCTCCTTCCACCTTCTTCGGTAACAATTTTCCGATAACCAGTTGCGTCTGATGAGGCCACGTGAGTGTAGCTTCGCATACGTTCATCAGCTCGGCAAGCTCCTCGAGGCCAGCCTGCGGAAGCCTCTCCACATCGAGCGGGGAGAGGCGATCTGCACCTAGTCCTGTCTTGGCACGCATGCGATGAGCCATACTACGCACTTGATCCGCGGTGATGGGCCCCATGGGCTCGTCACGTGCCGCCTCCTTGATGGCGGCAAAGGCTTCGGCAAGTCGTTCCTCTTGAGAAGCGCCAGCACACCCAATGCGTTCTAACCCTGCCGACGCAGCACATGGATAATCCGACAGAACCTTGGCGACATGAGAGACGCATGGGCTCGAGGAGCACCCAGCGCTCGGCTCTGACGCCCCAGCAAAACATGGCTTGACCTGATGGGCCTCCGACAAAACCTTGGCGACTTGCGAGACGCATGGGCTCGAGGAGCACCCAGCGCTCGGCTCTGACGCCTCGGCAAAACATGGCGTGGCCTGAGAGGCCCCCGACAAAACATTGGCGACTTGAGAGTCGGTTGGGTTCGAGGAGCGCCCACCGCTCAGCTCTGACGCCTCGGCAAAGCATGGCACTGCGCCACCGCGTCGACCGCTCGGCTCTGACGCTTCGGCAGAACACCTCCACGTAGACCTCCACGTCGACCTGCAGATGTCCAGAGCTCCTTCCATAGCTTGCCTTTACGGTCTAAGATATCCTTGGGGTGCACCAAAACAGTACTGCCGTACCAGACCTCCTCAACTGGTAGCGGTTCGTCTCGCATACTCCTGCGCAGCGTTCCCAGGGCCTCCTGAGAAGTAATCCAAGACCGAAATTCACACAAAGACTCTCGCACCGCCCGTCGCAGAGCACGTTTAGAGAGCTTGTCCGCCTGTTGTTGAAAACTAGCAATCACCACATCACGCGTGTCAGCTAAGTTCAGGAGCAAACCCGTCCAGACATGAATCCCAGCATCCTTTTGGCTCAACAGAATCTTGTCAACTCCACCGGGCTTCTCGGTAGCAAGATGCCTGGCTGCTTGCTGCAACTGAACCAACTGAGAACGACCATTATCTCGCCCACGATGCCGCTCGAACTGCGAGAGGATAGATGCAACACGTTTCCACCAGCATGCAACTTGATCTCTCAAAGGAGCGGCTCTAGATCGCGAGCTCTGCTTGACTGACTCTTCCACGAAAGAACATCCAGTGCCCCGTCGGGGGCCCCCAGATGGCACGACCTGATGATGAGCATAAATGACATCCTCGACAGTGTTGACCCATTGAGAAAACCATGAGCTCACGAAATGAACATGGCCAGGATTGAGCCGAAAGGCTACGGAGTTGAGAAAGTGAGCAGGGGCAGGGGGGGCAACGTCCCCTTGATGCAGGGGCCTGTGCTGCTCCCACACATCTTCTGGAATGAGGAAACTAGGCTCGACCTTCTCTTGTGGCACTTCCGAGGGTTCTGGCTCCACCTGGCTCACCGATCCACTGCTTGTGGCTGGGGGGGGGGGTCCCTGTGGCTGGTGGGGTCATCATTCACCTGACTACCTGACACGCCAGAGCTACAGACCCCCGAATTGACAACGATGGATTCAAGCGCACTAGCATTTTCATCAGGCCTGGACGGACCGCCAAAGTTAGGCTCATTGGCCCACGGATCCTCCTCCTCGTCTTCAAATTCAGGAAGGGGGGCCCCCTCACCAGGGACGTCGGTTTCCTCGTCCTGGGAAGGGCCTTCAACAAAAACAGAACCAGCATTTTGTGAATTCAACGCGTCCCCGAAGAGACTCAGATAGTTCTCAGAACGCTTTCCCGCGGCAATGGCAGCTTGCGCCGCCTGCTTCTTCTTGGCCACCGAGGCCTTGGATCCTGGGGTCGCTTTCACCATCGGGCGGGAAACCTGGGGCAATCTACCAGCACACTCTAGCCGTCGTGTCAGAAGCTGAAGGCCAGAAGAACGTATGGAAAGAGCCAATCCTATGTGCGGGCGCCAGGGCACGTCCATGACGGCCTCCAGCTTGATGAGGTACGGCAGGGAGGCCTCGGAGACTACCGCGTAGTCGATCAGGCTGCCCTGCGCACTCGAGTCGCACGTGACCTGTACGCCAGGAGTCACAACTCGTCCCTGAACTTGTCGTAGAAAACCACTCTGAGAAAGAACACTTGGCTCCATGTTCCAATCACCCAAGCATATCCACGGCAGCTGCAAGGCTGATAACAGCCCTCCAATCTTGTGCAACCTTGAAATATTTTTGCCAGCGAGGCCAATAGATGAGAAACAGTAAACAATCAGCAGCACCATCGAGAAGCCCCGAAAGTGCAGCACCGACGCGGTGAACCCGTCCAGCGCGTCGCTGCCATCTGCCTTGAGCGCGCCCGTCATCCTGGCCTCCGCGATCGGCTCGACATGAAGGTGGCCCCGTGCGAGTACCCACTCTCCTCCTTCATTGGCACGATCCTCCTGAGCCTGGCTGCCCCGTCCTGATGGTCGGGCAGCGTTAGCAATCAACCTGAGTTTTTTTCTGTCGAGCTTTGTTCCCCCATGCGCGCATCTGACTCGCCCCCACGTGAGTCTCCGCACATCCCAAGATATCGGACTTGGCTGACATATCTAAATAATGAGTCCACGTACGGTCACCCATGGCCGCGACGTTCGCAAAGAAAATGTTGGAGACGGGCTCGTTCTCGCAGAGCTCGAATCTAGTGACAAAACTGGCGCCTGCACCTCCGCCTCTGGGCGAAGCTGATCGCGGGACGGGGCCGCAGGCGCTGACCGTCAGGCCGCTGCAGCGCCATCCTGGCCCTTGCCCTCGGCCTTGGCCTGGGCCGCAGCCTCAGCGGCCGCGAACTTGGCCGCCGAGATCTTGGCCGCCTCGGCGCGCACGGCCTCCTTCTCGGCGGTGGCCGAGGCGGGGTCGGCTGCAGACGGGGCCTCCGCCGCCGCTGGCGGCGCTGGGCCACCTGCACGGCCGCCCGCTCCGCCGTCGCCGCCTGCCGTCGCGCCAGCGCCGCCTGCCTCGGCCGCCTCAGACGCGCCGTCGCCCTCGTCGTCGCCCTCCTCAGAGTTGTCGACCCTCCTCCTCTTGGCCGCCAACCTCTTGGCGATCTCAGCCTTTGACTTCGCAGCCTTCGCGAGCCAAGACTGCACCTCAACGTTCTTCGCCTGGAAACCCTCCTGCATTTGCAACAAGGTTGCGTGAATCTGCTTGAGCTCCTGCCTCTCCGTCTCCTCACACTCCAAATTGTCCAAATCATCGAACAGGCTGGAATCCCACGAGACGGTGAAGGCTTCTGGTGCCTTGGCCTCTGGAGCAGTTTGCGGCCGCTGCTCTCCGCCAAGACCCTCCGCACGTGCAAGCACCTCGGCTGCTCGCGTCTTGGCGACTGCGGCTGCCGCCAGAGCCTCCGCAGCCGCCTCCTCCTTACTCTCTGCCGTGGCCAAGGACGTGCGAAGACGACACACGTTGGCCACGCACTGGTCGTGCTTGTGGTTGCAGTCCCTCCAGTGGCCCTCCGCCCTCTTGTAGCTGTCGGCGGCAGAGGGGGGCGGCTCAGATACCGTGGGACCCTTCTTCAGCAGCTCAATCCGATTCTTCAACACCGTCTTGAGCTCCTGGTCATTGGTGCTCTTCATTGCCCCCATGAGGTGGTCGATCGTGGAGCTGGCCTTGGACCACGGGCCCTTCTGAGAGCTGCGCTGGTCGGACTCCTGCTCCTCGAAGTCCCACACCTCCGCCTCGTCGGCAAACGAGACCTTCCCTGGTGATTGCGATCTGGACCTGAGGCCCCCCTTCTTCTTCTTGGGGGTGAACAGGGTAACTTCTCGCTTACACTTGGTGCATATGCCCTGCCCACGTGTGATCACATCATTCCATTCACACTTCCCGCACTGGCAGCGGCTCCAGAGCCGCGCACTACGATCAACGAGCGCCATGGCAGGGAACGAGCTTGGACTGACACTCTTGCTTTTGTCACAGATGACTGGCCTCCGCAAAGGGCTCTGCTCTGTGTGCCTCAAGCGCTCCGAGCAAGCACAAGAGTCGGCACAAACAAAATGCTTGTGCCTAGGTGGCTTGAGAGGAGGAGGAGGAGGAGGAGGAGGAGGAGGAGGAGGAGGGGGAGGAGGAGGAGGAGGAGGAGGAGGAGGAGGAGGAGGAGGAGAAAGAGGAGGAGAAAGAGGAGGAGGATGATGGGGGGCGGCCCGACACGCGCGGCGCCCCTCGTGAGCGTCGCACACCTGGCTGGCACCTGCCACCGTTCCCCAGCGGTCGTCGATGGCGGCCCCTGCCTTTACGCTGATGCACGGGCTGGGACGCGTGGGAACGGGCACCAGCACCAACACCAGGGGTACCTGGCTGGCACCTGCCACCGTTCCCAAGCGGTTGTCGATGGCGGCCCCTGCCTTTACGGTGATGCATGGGCTGGGGCGCGTGGGAATGGGCACCAGCACCAACACCAGGGGTACCTGGCTGGCACCTGCCACCGTTCCCCAGCGGTTGTCCATGGCGGCCCCTGCCTGCGCTGATGCCTGGGCTGGGACGCGTGGGAATGGGCACCAGCACCAACACCTTGGTGGTCTCCAAACCAGGTGGTGAGACACCCGGTGGTGACCCCGATTCCCCCAAAAAATGATTCTGGGTCACCACCGGGTTTGGGGACACGCGGTCGCCACGAGGTTTTGCGTTTCCTGGGCCAGCCAGCGCTCGAAAACCATTACCCAAATCGCCCAAAACTCACCACCGGGTGTTCTCACCACCACGTTTGGGGAACACCAAAACACCAGGGGCTGCCTCCACGGGAGGAAGACGATCCTGACTCTTGGTGCTGGTGGTAATCTTTCGGCCACCTGGGAAGCCCGAGTAGTACCACCATCGCCGAGACCGGAATCATCTGCCTTCGGTGGTAGCACACCGCCGATATTGGTGTTGGTGTCAATCTCCAGGCATCCGATGTGTGCTACTTACAGGGCAAGGTTTAGCACATGGGATTTCAAAAAAATATATTGTTTAATCCATGATTACTTTCTGAAAAACATCTGCATGACCGCATCGTTGCATTTAGTACTAAATCCTTGCATTTTTAATGCATGATCCGCACGCGGAGCATGTAGTAAAAACGGCACTGTATGTGGGAGGGCGGGTGGGTGAGCGAGGCAGCCGTCCTTCGAGGGGGGGAGCTCGACCCTCCGCCCTCCCTCCTCCCCTGGGTCTGCACGGGGGGGGGGGCGAGCGGTCACGAGCGTCCCAAGATGGCTCCACGATGGCCTCACGCTGCCCAGGCTGGCCTCCATGTTTCGATTCGCGGGTCGAGAGCGCACCTCTTCCGGTCGAAGCCAAGCGGGCCGCGCGAAGCTTGAATGAACCAGAGATGGGGGGAGGAAAGAGGATGGCCTCCAGCATGCCGCCGAGAGGTCTCAAGACCGCCGTGAGACGGCTCCAAGTGGCCACGGATTCTCCCCCCAACGCCACCCGCGAGCCCCGTGGGAAAAAAAAACACACAGTGGGAAAACACACAAACACACACACACACGCACGCACACGCACACGCACGCGCACACGCACACACGCACACACACACACACACACGCACACACACACGCACACACACACGCACACGCACACGCACACGCACACGCACACGCACACGCACACGCAC